GGGTTTAGGGTTTAGGGTTTAGGGTTTGTGGAGGGTTTATGATGAAGAAGAAGTCCGTCGGGGTGTTTAGGGTTTGGGGTGTATAGGCAGCTCGGGTGTATGTGCAGCTCCCTCTATACAGAAGTGGTATTTCAGATTCTTACACAAACCCTAAACCCTAAACCCTAAACCCTAAACCCTAAACCCTAAATACTAAACCCTAAATCCTAAACCCTAAAACCCTAAACCCTAAACCCTAAAAAGTCTAAACTCTAAATCCTAAACCCTGAAACCCTAAACCCTAAACCCTAAACCCTAATCCAAGGTTTTGGTGTCGAAATACTAAACCCTAAACCCTAAACCCTAAACCCTAAAAGGTTTGGTTACGGGCCACTGAGGCCTAAAGAACAGAAAAAATGTTCAATGCATGCAGCAGGCGAAGCAACGCTTCGTCGCTTTGCTGCTGCTGCTGCTGCTGCTGCTACCGCTGTTGTTGCTGCAGCAGCAGCTGTAGCAGCAGCAGCAGCAGCAGCTGCTGCTGCTGCTGCTGCTGCAGCACGGGGCCCTGAGCATATATCAGGGGGGCCCTTAAGCAGTTAATTCGAATTTGACGCGTTTCTCTTTGCTGCTGCTGCTGCTGCTGCTGCTGCTGCTGCTGCTGCTGCTGCTGCTGCTGCTACTACTACTGCTGCTGCTGCTGCTGGTGCTGGTGTAGTGTTGGTGGTGCTTGGTGCTGGTTTTGCGTTTTGCTGCTGCTGCTGCTGCTGCTGCTGCATGGTCTGCCTGCAGCGCTAGCATGAGGCGCCTAGCGACTGCATCTGACTTACAAACGGAAGCAAACGCTCTGCTGCTGCTGCTGCTGCTGCTGCTGCTGCTGGTGTTTCTGCTGCTGTCTTTGCTGCTGCTGCTGGGGAATATAGATGCATGCACTTTCGCCAGCTTTAGGGTTAGTTTATCTATTCTTGTTTTTTTTCTTTTGAACCTTACTCTCCCAAGCTCTTCTATATCTGCTGCTGCAGCATCATCATCATCATCATCTGCTGCTGCTGCTGCTGCTGCTGCTGCTGCAGCTGCTGCTGGTGAGTCGATAGGGAATACTGCTGCTGCTGCTGCTGCTTTTGCTGCTGCGCGTTTGCGCTGCTGCAGCTGCTGCCGCATGCGTCTATTTGCTGCATAATCATCCGCTTGCTGCTGCTGCTGCTGCAGCAGAGCAGCAGTAGCAGCACGAGCACTCAATATACTTTGTCGCTGCTGCCGCTGCTGCGGTGTCTCCGCAGCAGCAAGCTGCTGCTCTTCTTGCTGCTGCAGCAGCAACCCTCTCTGTCGCAGCAGCAGCAGCTGATGCTCTTTTGCTGCTAAAGGATTTGCTTCGAGTCTCTGTCTTTCTTCTGGCTGCAGCAGCCTAGGATTATCTGCTGCTGCTGCTGCTGCTGCTGCAGTTGTTGCTGCTGTTGCTGCTGCTGCTGCTGCTGCTGTTTCTCTCTCACGCAGGTTGCTGCTGCATATATAATTGGACCCTTTAGGGTTTGTGGTGATGATACATTCGCTGCTGCAGTGTATACATGAAAAAAAAAAAGAATAAACAGCACAAGAAAAATAAAAACCAACACGTTTTTTATTTGCATTTACTCTTACTCCTTTATCTAATATACCGCCACAAGATAAACAACAAACCTTAAAAGGGAGCTCAAATCTAACCACCATAAACCCTAAACCCTCGTTTTTTTTATCTATACTAAACCCTAAACCCTTTTCTTTTTTATTTTTTCGGTTTAGGGTTTTGTCTGTTGAGGGGTCAAAGTTAGGCCCATAGTAATAGCCATCAGCACGACAAGCTGCGAGCGAAGACATCTTTTTTAATTATATTTTTTTTATTTATTTTTATTTTATTTTATTTTATTTTATTTTTTTTATTTGTGGATCTGTTTATATGCGGAGGAGGAACAGGGGGACGATGGCTATGGTCTTGCTACACGGTGTTGATTTGCTGCTGCTGCTGCTGCTGCTGCTGTTGTTTTGCTGCTGCTACTGCGTAGAAGAAAAGAGACGATGGAGCAGTAGCTGCTCTGAGGGTTATCCGCGCTGCAACAGAGGCAGACGCAGAGGTGCCTGTACACCTCAGGAGGTGCCTGTACACCTCAAGAGGTGCCTATACAGCTCAAGAGCTGCGTGTACACCTCAGGGGTTTATAGTGAGCTATATGGGTAGGTCTGGCGTTCCTGACAAGTACAAGCGCGACAAAAGCGGTGAAAAAAACAAAAAAAGTAAATATAAATGAAGAAAGCTAAGAAAAATACTGCAGCAAAAGCAGCAGCAGCTGTCGATACACCGCAGCACCGCGGCGGTGTCGCAGCGGTGCCGCCCGCCAGCAGTGGAATGAGAGGTTTATTTAATGCATAAAGAAGAAAAATAAAAGAAAAAACAAAAATAAAATAAAAAACAAACACAAATACCCCTTTTTTTTTCAATAAATTTACACAAACTGCAACCTTAAATATACTGCTGATCGACGAGCTGCCTAGACACCCGAAACCACCAATCTAGATTCTATACAGCTGGGGCTGCATGCATATATTTTTTTTTTTTTTTTTTTTTTTTTTTTTTTTTTTTTTTTTTAAAAAA